CAGCAGCCTGCTGGCTCACATAGTTGGCCCAGAGGTCCGGGTGATCCTTCTCGATCCCGTCATCCAGGACAGAGATGACGATGCCCTGGCCGGTCAGTCCCTGGCCCCACACCTGCAGGACATTCAGGTCCGGCTGTACCTCGTTGTTCTGCGAGGGCAGAGCACGGCTCAGCGGGACGCCCCTAGCCTTCCTACTCCCCTGGCTGCTCACCATGTACCACTGCTTGGGGAACCAGGCCTCAGTGGGCATGGCTCAGCAGGGACCCCCTGCTCCCCTCCCCCTGCCTCCAGTTGCTCACCATGTACCACTGCTTGGGGAACCAGGGGTCCGTGGGCATGACCAGGGAGCGCTTCACCCGTCGCCGCAGTGTCTGCTGCTCAAACCACCGCACCTGGAGGAGGTGTGGGGGTAGGGGGCTGGGTCCCAGGGCTGCCACCCTCTGTCTTTAGCTATGCCCATCACTGGGGCAGGGGTCCAGGGCCCTGAGTCCTCACCGCCAACCCCGTGGCCAAACACCCTCTAGGTCTGGCTGGGGAAGGAACCCCAAGGGGGTGGGGAAGACTGTTAGGGGTCTTGTATCACTGGGATCCTTCATGCGGTGGGACCCGGCAGAGGTAGGAAGCAGGGTGGGAGGCCCTAGGTTTGGGTGTGGCCCTCACCCCAGTGCTCTGGTGTTGTTGGGCCTCTGCCCACCTGAGGCCCTGCCTTCAGCCTGAGGGGTGCAGCCTCAGAGCACCCAGCACAGGACCCATGTGTGGGGGCCGCCCACAGGCTGCATGGGGCTCTCTGCCACTTCCACTGGCTCACGCCCTCGATGACATGCTCCCCTTCTTGCTGTGCCCAGTGGCACACAGCACCCCCCCTCCCTGGCAGAGCCCTTCCAGGGGTTCCTGCATTCGTTGTCCTGTCTACCCACAGGGACTTTGCAGGTGCTTCCCCCACCTTTGTGCTTTCCATCCGCATTTCCCACCCTCCTCACCCCCGGGGCCACTGCCTATGCAGCCTCGGGCAGACCTGCCTAGATCGCCACCTTTGTCCCAGCTCTCCTGCAGGCCACACTGAGGACCGGCCCCTCCCCTACCACAGCAGGCCAGCTTCACTCTCACTCCACCCCTTGGCGTTCAAGGGCTGCTGGACAGGGGCCCGGCGTGGCTAGCTCGGGCACCCCTGGTTCCAGATCCGCCTGTGACTCAGGAGGGTCTCCGGACAGACTCTCACCAGTGGAACCCAGTCTCCCCTTCCTGTCGGAGGCTTGGGTGTGGTGTGGACAGTAGGTACCCCTCATTAGTGGCGGGCCTGAGTGGTGGCTGCTTCAGGTGAGTTAAGGGAGAGACAGCCACACCAGGTCAGTGTCACAGCCCAATACCCCAGGTGCCCAGCATAGCCTGCTTTCCAGACTGGATCCCCGATGCACAGACATGGAAACTGAGGCTCAGAGAGGGTGGTCACCAAAGTCCAAGAGTGTCAGGTGGTGCTTGGCTGGTTCCCAAGCAGCTGACCCTGAAGGGACAGCTTGGAGGCCCAGCTCACCTGGGGGTCTTTCTTCAGGCGCAGGCGGTGGCCCCAGTGTGGGTTCAGGGACCGCTGGGTCACACCCCGGTGCCGCAGGTGGAAGTACTGCCCATCAGAGAAGATCTGGGGATGTGGTCCAGGCGGCAGAGTGTGGGCCCCTGGGCCCTGGGCCCTGTCCTAGCAGCCCTCCCGGCCAGATACCCTCCGGAAACCCCAGAGTCTGGAGGCAGAGGGGCCCGGGAGACGTGATATTGGAGCCTGGGTCTAGGAGGCTGCTCCTCGCCCTGTCTCTAGTCTGGGGTCGTCCAGCCCCTGTCCCCTCCTGGCCCATCCCGGTGGGTCCCACCTGCCCCAGGTTGATGAAGCCGAACTTGCGCGCCAGGCGCTCGGCCTCCAGGTTCCCCTGGGGCACCCGCACGGCCCAGCTGCTGACATAGATGGGGGCCCGGGCCGAGACCCACCCCACAGCCAGGGGGCCGACGAGGCCCAGGCCCAGGGCCAAGGCCAGGCGCAGGCAGAGCGCTGTCTGGGCGGGCCGCATAGGGGCGGGGCCGCGGCGGAGGCGGGGCCTTCGGGAGCTCATCCCGCCCGCCAAACGGCCCTAGCGCCCGCTGCCCCGCCCCCGGCGCCATAGCAACCCTGGAGGGGCTTCAACTCTCAGGAATCCTGCGGCTCTCCACTCCGGGGACGCGAAGACCAGACGGTGGCGGGGGACGCAGCAGATGGCCTGCCTAGCCTCTTCCGCGGGAGTTAACCCTCAGGAGCCTCAGTCCCTCCATTTGTACAGTGATCCAAACCTAACTCACAGGAGAGCATTTATTATTACTACACCTGGCCCCACCCCTCTCTTTGGCACCGCCCACTTTTGTAGGCACCCGCCCTCGAATCAGCCTGATCTCCTCTCCAGTCCAATCAGAGCTGTCATGTAGAGTTAGCCCCACCCCACTCGGCCCCTCAGGGTGCCTCTCGCCTCCTTTATGATCAACCTCGCGCCTCTCCGTTCTCTCCAATCAGCTTTCGTCTTCTCCCACAAGCTCCGCCCTCCCCAGCACGCTTTTCTTCCTTCAGCTCCACCTCCCGGCCCCGCCTCTCCAATCAGCTACGGCCCGTGCTCGGCCGGCCAATCGACGTCCACCGCCACCGCGCCCCGCCCCCTGCCACTCACGTCGCAATCGGGGCGACAGCGGCCCGCCAGAGGGCGATGCGGCGGGGGAGACGGGGCAGGCCCCTCCTCCTTTGTCCGCCTTGCCCTCCCATTGTCCTGAGCGGGGGCTTGAGGGCGGAGCGCTGCCGCCGGGCAAGGAGGGCGCGCTCGCGGCGGTCGGGCAGCTGGGGGCGGCGCTCCAACTCCGGTTGCCGGCCCCGACGCCGCCACCATGGACGGTCTGCGGCAGCGCTTCGAGCGCCTTCTGGAACAGAGGAACCTGGCCACCGGGGTGCTCGGGGCTCTCGAAGCCAGGACCGGGGTCGAGAAGCGCTACTTGGCCATGGGTGAGCTGCCACCCCATTGTCCCGACGGGAATACTGAGGTCCCAGAGGCCCGGCAGGAGACCTCTGCCCCCATCTGGCCTGGCAGCGCGGGTGCGACCATTGTCTGGGGGATGTCGAGGCGAGGCCCGGGGACCGTCCTGCCTCCGCGAGGCCCCGGCCCCAGCCCCTGCAGCACCCCAGCTCCACCTCGGTGCCCTGCGGGGCCGTAGGCTAGCCTGGCTCTCTCCCAGGCTTGGTGCCCGCCAGGGCCACGTCTGGTACTTCCAGTTCTCCAGGGGCCCCGAGGTGGGGCGAGCTGCCAGCCCCTTCCTGGCATGAACCCCAGGCTGGAGACCGTTTGGAGAACACCCCCCCCCCGTTTCTGAGGGGGCCGTGAGGCCAGCACCAAGGGACCCTCCTGGCTCCCTCTTTCTGTGGGCACACACCTATCCGCTTGCCCCAGCCCTGTGACTGTCCTCTGTCTCACTAGAGCAAATATTTGCCTAGCCCAGTGGGGTTGTGTACCTGCTGCCATAGGGGCCAGAGGCGTTAGACAGGCCCATGAGGGCCCCGACTCCTGCACTCACCAGACCCTGCAGGTCTCTGAAGCTTTCTCTTTCTCCTCCCTCTCCATGTCCAAAGCCCACCTCTCCCAGGAAGCCCCCATGCAGTGAAACACAGGAAGCTTTGCCTACCCCTATGGCTGGGGGGCATGCCACTGAAGCCAGTGCCCTGTTTGCAAAGCACCTTGGGGGTGGGTTCAGGACCTCCACTGCCAGCCCCAGACATCTGCGTTCCACCCCAGGCCTTCCCTGCTAGCTCTAGGAGCTGAGATCTCTGCACCCAACCCCCACCCCAAGCCACCCCAAGCTGTGGGGCTCAGCCAGGTGCAGCCTGACCTCTGTCCTGCCTTTCTTTAACCCAGTACCCGCCTGCAGGCAAGAATTTAGATCACAGGGCATGGGGAGAGAGGAGAGGTCAGCTGGGGGCTGTTACATCCGTTACAGATGCCCAGTCTAGCCTGCCTGTCTTGTCAACTCCCCGGGGGCCCTATACCCCCCCATCTTAAGTCTCAGATCATCCTCTCCATGCTGAGGTGGCAGCAAAAGGGATTTGAGGGCTGGTCTCCTGCCAGCTTGAACGGATGCGGGGACCCTGGGGCCCACCCTGCCCCCATCACCTAATCCCACCCAATAGATGAATGTAAGCACGCCTCTCCCAGAGGTCCTCCCCCCACTCATGCCTTGCTGCTGACCATGATCTATCCTTGACAAAGATGAGGCGGGTGGACAAGTGGAGGGAGGGTGGCTTAGGCCTCTGCCCTTTGGCACAAGTCTGTTCAGATAAAGGCCCGGGTGGGTGGGGCTGCCCCAGTGCGCTCTCTGGCTGCCCAGGGCATCTGGCCCTCCCCTGCTCTGTGCCTGCAGACCGCTCACAGGGGACACGTGTTCAGTACTTTAATCATTGTAGCCTTTTCCACTGTTCTCACAGGTGGACACCCACCTTCCTCTGCACCCACAGTGCTGGCTGCGGGTCCAGAGGGCGGTCAGCAAACACTCAGGGCTAGCAAGTTCCCCATCAAACTCAGTGACCTGGGAGGCAGGTGGGGGAACTGAGGCCCTGCAGAGAGGGGCTTTCTGAGTGCCCCGTGGTGGACTGGTGGGAGAGCAGAGCTCTCCCAGGTCAGGTCGGCATTCTTCCTGGGCTGACTTTGTCCCCATGGGATGCCTGACCACATCTCAAGGCTTGAGGATTTACCACGGGGAGGCTACTCTACATCCCACAGTGCCCAGGACACCCCCATCCCAGAGAAAGGCCCAACCCCTTGTTGGCAGGAGACCCTGTGTTCACTGTGCCCTGTCCTCCCACACCCAAAAAAGTCCTGTTGGGGCCTGCCGTATAAACCGAGAGCCTCGGCCCTGTGGCTGTCCCTGCTCCCCACCCCCCACTCCACTCAGTGTGGGCAGGGCTCCCACTCACCAGCAGGCTCTTGGGAGTTTGGGGTCCTTTCACCAAGGGGCTCTGACCTGAGCCGGTTCTGCCTCCTTCCCCACATCTGGGACACTGATGTCTGGGGACATTTGTGGGTGCCACCACAGGGCTGTGCTGCTGGCATTGGCGGATGGGGGCTAGGGGGCTGCTCCACACCCTGCCGTGCACCGGATGGCCCTGTGCCCCCACATGGGCAGTGTCCAGGGAAAGAGTCTTGCATGGAGAGAGCAGTTTACTTTGTCCAACTGACCCAGGACACCTCTGAGGCTAGATCTGGCCTCACTCCCGCTGAGCCCTTGCAGACACGCACCTCTCAGCCTTGGCCCTGCTGCCACCCAGTACCACTGCTGCTGGCCTCGGCACTGGACAGCTCAGATGCCTTACAGCCTAGAAGGGAGGGCTGGCTGCCGGCCACCCTGCTGGCCCTTGACCAGTGGAGCTGCTGCCCGGAGCAGGGGACAGTTGTAGAGTGACTGGGACCCCACCTCTCTACTCTTAGGGCTCGTGACACTGCTAAGCCTGTATCTTCTTTTCGGCTACGGGGCGTCTCTGCTGTGCAATCTCATCGGCTTTGCATACCCCGCATATGCTTCGTGAGTACTGGGGGACCGTGGGGTACCCTGCATATGCTTTACGAGTACCAGGGGTGTGTGGGGTATACCACATTGCTTTGTGAGTCTAGGGGGCCGTGGGATACCCTGAATATGCTTCATGAGTACCAGGGGGATAGGGGGGTACCCCACATTGCTTTATGAGTTCCAGGGAGATGTGGGGTACCCCACATATGCTTCCTGGGTACCGAGCATATATGGGGTACCCTGCCTTGCTTTGAGAGTACTGGAGGATGTGCGGTACCCCACATTGCTTTGTGAGTACAGGAACACAGGGGCCACCCTGCCTATGCTTTACCGGGTGCCTGGGTGGGGCAGGCCCGGGCTGCCCCTGACCCAGCACTGCTTCCAGGGTCAAGGCTATCGAGAGTCCCAGCAAAGAGGACGACACGCTGTGGCTCACCTACTGGGTGGTGTACGGCCTGTTCGGGCTGCTCGAGTTCTTCAGCGATCTGCTCCTGTTCTGGTGCCCTTTCTACTACGTGGGCAAGGTGCGCTGCGGGGGCATGGGGGTGTCTGTGTCTGCGCGCGTGTCTGTGTGTCTGCACCCACTTTGCGTGCCAGGGGCCAGGGCCAGGCTCCAGGCTGCCGTTGAGGTCAGAGCCAGTGCCCATCCGCCTGGAGGCGTGGTGGGACGGAGTGGGGCCGGCCGAGGGAGGGCCGAGTGCAGCCTAACCGAGCCTTGGTCCTTCAGTGCGCCTTCCTGTTGTTCTGCATGGCGCCGGGGCCCTGGAACGGAGCCGCCGTCCTGTACCACCGCGCCATCCGCCCGCTGTTCCTAAAGCACCAAGCAACCGTGGACAGCCTCGTGAGCGACCTCAGCGGCCGAGCCCTGGACGCAGCCGCCGGACTCACCAGGGAGGGTGCGTGCCGCCTGTCCTGCCATCGTGCCTTCCTTACCTGCCTTCTGGGTCTCAGCCCTCACCGTCTGTCTGTCTGGCCCTGCCTGTCTGTCCCCTCCACCCTGCTCTGCCTGGCCCCTGCCCGGCGCCCCAGCCTGTGCTTGCTGCCCGCTCACTGCCCGCTCTCTCCCCACGCTCTCGGGAACCAGTCCTGAGGATGCTGGCCCGGAGTCGGGCACTCGTCGCCTCAGCGGGTCCCCCGCTGCCCTTGGAGCCTACCGTAGGTAACTCCCTGGGAGAGGTGGGCAAGAGTGTCTGCCAGTGCTCCTGAGTGTGTGTATGCGTGCGTGGGAGCATGTTTGTGTGTGTGCACACGTGTGTGAGGATGGTGTGTGCATGTGTCTGAAAGTATGCTTGTGTGTGTCTGAATATGTTTAGGTGTGTGGATGTGTATTTGTGCATGTATGTCAGTCTGTGGGTGTGCATGTGAATGTTAGCACGTGTATGAATGCATGTATGAGTGTTTCAGAAAGTATGTGAATGTGAGGAAGGATGTGCATGTGAATGTGTGTGCTATGTGTGTCCATGAGTATGTGTATGTTTCTGTGTATTTGTGTGTGAGTATGCGTGGTTGTGTATTTGTGTGTGTAGGCATATAGTGTACTTGTGAGTGTACCCATGAATATGTGTGGTTATTTGAGTGAGTCTCTGTGTATACGTGTTTACTTGTGTGTGAGTATGTGCAGGTGTGTGCATGTGAATGTGTAATCTGTGTGTCTCAGTGAATATGTGTGCGCACTCCTGTGAGTTTCCATGTGTATGTACTTGTGTGTGAGTGTTTAATGCTGTGTTTCAGGGAATGTGTGAATGTATATTTTTGTTTGTGAGTGGGTGTATTTGTGAATGTACTTGTGTGTGGTGTGCACGTGGGATTCCCTCCCTGCAGGGGGGCTGCTTGGGCCCTGCCAGCCCATCCCATGCTGTCTACCTGAGGCCTGGCCGTGGCCCTCAGGCCAAGCTGCTCTGACCATCCTCCCCCACAGGCCCAGCAAACATGATGCAGTCGCAGAAGGGCAAGTAAAGCCATCCACTGAACCCAGCCAGGACCTCCAAGCTGGGGGGCAGGACCAACCAGACAGCCAGGCCGTCTCGGACCCTTTCACCTCGTCCCCGACCGAGGCCCCCGCCAGCCCCTTGAGGCCCAACAAGACCCTCAAGGACACCTCCTCCTATGTCAACTCAGGCCACACCCCATCTCCATCCCTGGCCGCCATCGGCTCCAGGGCCCAGTTGCCAAGCAAGACCCGGGGACGGCCGCGGCCACGGCCACGAAGCAGCCCCACCACTCGGCCCCAGGGCCCCATCCAGCAGTCACGGCTGCCCCTAACATCCGCAGGCCCCTCGCCAGCCCCCCACAGGCCCTCTGCCTCCTCGTCGGCACCCCACAGGTCCTCCACCACCACACAGCATCCCAGCGCAAGCACCAGCCAGACGCCACCCCTGGTGCAGAGCCCCAGTGACGCCAACGTCCCCGAGCCGTCCCCCAGGAAGACCTGCAGCAAGACTACTGTAGAGCCGGGGGCCGCAGTCCCCAGGTCCAGCAGACACCACCGGAAGCGGACCTCTGCACGCCACTCCCACAACCTTGCCAGGGCCGAGCCCTGCCCTTCGGACACCTCCCTGGAGACCACCTCCGACTGTGTGTCCGAGTTCACCTTCACCTGGCCCCATTTCCGAGGGCACCGGCTCCGCTGCCTGGGGCACTGCTGGCCACTGGACCACCTGGCCTGCCAGCTCGTAGGCCGATAGAGCAGCTCACTGTCGCTGGTGCTCCATCCCTGTGCTTGTCCTTCCCTGGGGCCTGTCCCTGGGCATCCACCCCTACATGCTTGCCACTGGCATCCGTCCCTCGTGTGTTTTTCCCTGGGGCCTGTCCCTGGGCATCCACCCCTACATGCTCACTACTGGGCATCCGTCCCTCGTGTGTTTTTC